AAAAAAAAAAAAAAAAAAAAAAAAAAAAAAAAAAAAAAAAAAAAAAAAAGCAATGGCCATAATATTTATATAGGATTTGAGGAAAAATAAATGTGGTTCCATAATTAAATTTTGGAGGTACAAAAGTGAAAAGGGAAAATTATTGGTGGTCCTCATAATAATGTGTATAAAGATGGGAGCATGAGGTGGTAGGTATGGGCCTTGTAATGGGCCCAAAAGGATATTATTTATTTATTTTTATTTATTTTTCATTTATGATGTTCTTATCTATCATTTTCATTCATTGGTTTTGTAAACACACTACGAGTCCACATCGTTTCGTAGACGCGTTTTAGAGATTGACAGTGATTCGGATAATATTCGCTAACAGTGGACTTGAACTGTTACTAATAGTACTAGAGCCAGACATCGAGCAGTGTGTTAGCGAGGATACTAAACCCATAAAAGAGGTAGATGGTGAATTTCTATGGCCTTAGATGTCCCACACCCTTTTAAGGTTGTAGAAACCTCTCATAAGGGTGTAGAAAAATTCATGAGAGGTCACCCAACATAAAATTACTCCAAGTATGTGATCCCGGCTTATTTATGTGTCCCTTTTTTACTCGGTTGCCACATTTAATATCTTAAGTTTGAAATTTTGAATGTTAATTAAATTGGTGAGTGGATTTTACAAATGGGCAGGGGAGGAGGAGATGAGAATATCTACACTTTTTTTTTTTTTTTACAAACTTTTTAAAAATTGGGTATTTTTTTTATTATTTAGTCTAAAATTTAGAAATTTATTTATTTTGAAATTTATAATAACAAACTTATGAGGTGTAAATTGCTTCCATAGCATAGTGGTATTGCGTTCGCTTCGTAAGCGAAAGGTCGCGAGTTCGATCCTCGCTGGGAGCTTTTTTTATTTTATTGAAAAGCACCTCTCAAAAGTAAGGAAATATTTATATTTTTTAGGGGGAAAAGATATATTTAAATAATATTTTTATTTAGAAATTTGTGGCTCATTAATTTTGTCTCCTTAATTAGAAATTAAATGAAATTTGGCTCCTTAATTTTGTCGTTTTAAATGATATGACACCTATTTTTTATTTAAAATATTTTTCTAATTTTAAAATTAAAATAAAATAAAAAAAAAACCATAAAAAACATTTAAGTCTTTTAATTGGGTTAGTTAAATAATTAATAAATCTACGAAATACAAATATAATGAGTAAAAATAGTAGAACAAAAATAGTAGAACTTGAAAGTTTAAGACATGCCGTAAAAATCTCTTCTTAGTAGATGCATTTTAAAACCGAGGTTGACGACGATAAATTATGAGCACAGAAAACATCAACTAGCGGTGAACTCGAGCTATTACAAATGTTATCACTAGCAAAGACGCTAACCCTCAAAAGAGAATCGATTGTGAGATTTCACCTTGGTTGAAAAGGAGAACGAAACATTCCTCCATTTATAAAAAAAGTCGAGAAAATATCAATAAAAGGTGTGCATGTTGTATAATTTCATAATGTCGATATCAAACGTATAACTCAAGACATATACGAGAAAATCGGTGTCCACATAGAATAATTCCATAATGTCAACTCGTAGTAAAATTTCACAATCCAAAAAACTTAAAAGCTGAAAACAAAAACAAGCCTCGTGAAAAATCTGCTTTGTAATCAGAGAAAAATGGCTCAAGTTATAGATCATTACCGACTCCCTCAGCCATACTTTGACACCCTCTGCTCTGCTAAAAGCTTCTCCTTTGTCCTTTGCTCGCTCCTAGAGTTGGGTCTGGGAATTCCTAAGACATCCTTTGAGCTGCTTCCTTGGCAAGGAGCCTCTCCTTTGCTTTGGTTTTGGCCTGTGACTTGGAACCCATGATTCCGCCACCCCACTTCTTCCTGTACTCGTCGTACTTGTCGTTGAAGTTTGCCTAAAGCACGCGTATTAAAAAAGTAAGCTCGACGTAGAGGTACACGACAAGAGTAATATCTATTTTAAATGTGCTAGTCACCTTAATAGCTTCTAGGATCCTGCTGAACTCCATCTTATCTTCGTTCTTAACTGTTGTCAAGCACAAAACTGATGCAGTCTTCTTATGGACAATCTGTTGCAAAAGGAACACTTTTCAAATGACTGTCCCCGGGGTTCAGCGATTCGGAAAACGTTTTTCAGGAAAGGGTTAAAAGGAAAATTGTTACCGCTCCCAATCGTGCTTTTCCCTTCACAATGCAATATGGAATTTCCATCTTCCTGCACAAAGCTGGGAGCCATACAACCAACTCGATCGGATCCACATCATGTGCTATCACAACCAGCTGTGCCTTGTTCTGAAATAGAGTACGTTTTATATTGAAGTTACAGAAAACATTGCAGTTGGAAAGAGTGAAGATTTTCGCACGTATGAAATAAACAAACACCTGCTCGATGAGGTAGGTAACATGATTGAGACCATATTTAACGACGATAGGCTTTTTGGCATCGTGTGATTTGCCTTCAGCCTCTTCCTGAGCTCTTTTCAAAAGACGCTCCCTTTTCTGTGCCTTATCCTCTGGCCTATACTTCAAAAGCATCCTGAACAAGTTTGTTGCTGCAAATGCATGAAAATGAATTCAAAACTAACACTCTTAAACACTTGAAAACAAATACCAAGAAACGTGAAACGTCAAAAACAAAGGACATGATAAACGTCAAATCGACAATTAGAACGTCTAAATCACTCAAAATGCAAGAAGATCCAAGCATTATCAAAGAAACCCGACAAGAAAAACGGTTCAGAGAAGAATCTGGGTTCCAAGAAATTGAAGCTTACTACCAACTCCCAAACTTGCACTGCCAATCAAAGCTAGAATCCCGAGGTAGCCAAACTAAACGTTCAATCAATAAGTATGGAACTAGTTATTTCTTCTTTTACCATAGCAGAACCTTTCTACACCTCTCCTAAATTAAGTGCAATCATTCAACCTAAACAAATTTCATACTTCATAAAAAGGAAGAAAGTTCCAGGTTGAAAGAACACAAAGCATAACCCGAAGAGGGACCCAATCCGTAATTAACTAAGCTGTACAATGAGGAATCTCGATGAGAATTTGAATGATGATCACAGATATTCGATTTTATTACCAAGATTCTTGTCGAGGGTCTTGGTGAACTGATTCAAAGCTGGTGGAACCTTGAGCCTCTGCTTGAGAATCCTCTTCTTCCTCTGAATTTGAACAGCTTTCGGCCATTTGACGAACCGTGTGAGATCCCTCTTCGGCGGCAATGCCCCACCGATTCCAAATTGCTTTGGACGCTTCTCAAATAGCGGGTTCACCACCTTCTCCTGCAAACAATCGGATTCTATGTTAAACCAAAGCAATGAAGAACTAAAACAACAAATTCGCATCAAGGGAAAGGAAAACAAACAATCCATTTACCGGCTTCTTCTTCGCCAAAGCTTTTCCAACAGCCTTCTTCGGTGCCTTTCAAGAACACAAGAAGAACAAATCAACAAACATTGTTCGCGTTAAAATGCAAAGAAATTGCATCACAATGAGATTGACCCAAATCCAAAAGTAAAGAGATTACATATCCATAAAACGAAAAACGAAGAATCGAAGGTACTGATCCATAGAGGAATTGAACGGGAGAGAAGGAGAGGGTACCATTTTTCGCGCTGCAATAGGGCGGGGTGAAGTAGCTGCCGCTTCATTATGATGCCTGCTAGGGTTTTATCAGGGTTGGCAATTACACACAGTGATGAACAAGAGCAACCTAGGTTTTTCTCTCTCTAATTTAATTAAATTTAATTTATGTAAACTTTAAATTTTAAATTTAGATTTTAATAAATTACAAATTTAGAGAAATTAAAATTTTGACAAATTTGTAATTTAATATTTATTATTTTTAATTTTCTCGGAGTATTCACATTTTTTTTAAATTAATGATCGTCTCTTTAGAGCTTAGGAGATAAAGGTTACTCGTAAGCAAATGCACCCTTCGAAGGTCCTTAGTTCAAATGGTTTTTCGAGATTATTCTACTAGGAATACTGACACGTGGTAGTAGGTGGAGATGTTACGAGAGCATGTGTCAATTGCTTAAATGAGAGTATTCATTTGAAATGTCTTAATCACACGACCATAGTCCTCGTTTTGAAGGGCAAAGAACCCACGGCGGTGATTGACAGAGTCGAGCATACTCTTGGTCGGTCTTGTGAATATCTCCATCATACTAAACCGTTCTTCTAATAAAGATTTTGCTCTGTTACAATTAGATGTCAGCAAAGCGTAAGATAGGGCAGAATAAAAGTTTATTTGTTCCAAATTCGTATAAAATGACGAATATACTAAACCTCCATATAAGTTCGAGATAGGAAACCCCTATATCTCCTTATTTGTGTCGTGGGTTTGATTAGCCTTCTCGAAAAAGTTGAAATTTTGAGTAAGATCTCGGGTATTCATGTTGCTCGTATTGCTCACGTTGTGACGAACCTTTTTCTTCAGTGTTGTTAGCCCTCAGTTCCTTAGAGCAAAAGCATAAAATTAAAACGAGATTATGCTGATTTTGCAGTATATGAATGAGCATCCAGTCAAGCATCAACTACTGTAATTTTATTGTTGTGTTTGCTGCTTTCGTCGTTGCTGCTAGATGACCATCGAGCTTGCTTTTATTAGACTTGGGTTGGTACTGCTTGCAGGTCAAGTTGCATAGGGGATCACGAGACAACCCGAGTTGAAGGACAAAATCAAAGTTACTTTATTGCTTAGTCTTTGTTATATTTAAACTTTCTTCATTTTCTTATATGCACATATTTATGCTATCAATATTAACAATGTCACTGTAGTCTGTAGTCAGTGCGGGTGACGGTGATACCCAAATTGCGTTAAAAAAATATTACATTTATTAGAAATCTATTAAATAAAAAAAATAAATTAATTTTATTATTTAAAATATTTAAAATAAATTAAAAATAGTTTCATTTTAAAAAATGGTCTAACACGTTCTTAACCTATTAATTTTTTTTAAAATTCAAAATAAAAATGGTAAGTTAAAATTAAATAAACAAATAAAAAATATTATGACATTTATAAAGAAAATACGAACCTGAGGCGTTCCACCATTCATACTGTGTCGAAGAGCCTCCTCCAAATAAAACCCTAAAGCGGCGGCCACTTCCTTGCACCTCGCTCTCCTGCCGCGGAAAAAATGGTACTCCCGTCTTCTCTCATTCGTTCGATTCCTCTATGGATCAGTAGCTTAGATACTTCGTTTTTTCGTTTTATGGATATGTAATCTCTTTACTTTTGGTTTTGCGTCGATCTCATAGTGATTCAATTGCTTTGCATTTGAACGTGAACAATGTTTGTTGATATGTTCTTCTTGTGTTCTTGAAAGGCACCGAAGAAGGCTGTTGGAAAAGCTTTGGCAAAAAAGAAGCCGGTAAATCGATTGTTTGTTTTCCTTTACCTTGATGCGAATTTGTTGTTTCAGTTCTTCATTGCTTTGGTTTAATACAGCGTTCGATTGTTTGCAGGAGAAGGTGGTGAACCCGCTATTTGAGAAGCGTCCGAAGCAGTTTGGAATCGGTGGGGCATTGCCGCCGAAGAGGGATCTCACACGGTTCGTCAAATGGCCGAAGGCTGTTCAAATTCAGAGGAAGAAGAGGATTCTCAAGCAGAGGCTCAAGGTTCCACCAGCTTTGAATCAGTTCACCAAGACCCTTGACAAGAATCTTGGTAATAAAATCGAATATCTGTGATCGTCATTAAAATTCTCATCGAGATTCCTTTCATATGATTAGTCAAGAGATTTTTAATTTTGTTAGGTTTTAGATTGTCATCATTGAATAGTTGTTCATTACGGTTCTTATCCCTCTTCGGTTTTATGTTTTTTCTTCTTTCAAGCAGGTACTATCTCCTTTATAATTAAGTATGAAATTTACTAGGTTATAGGAGCGATTCGCTGTACAAATGCATCTAAATTCGAAGTGTTGTAAAAGGTTCTGCTACGGTAAAAGAAGAAATAAGTAGTTTATTACCTTATTGGTTGACAGTTTGGTTTTGCTACCTTTTTGATTGACAATGCAAGTATTTTGGGAATTGCTAGTAAACTTCAGCATCTTGGAACCTAGATTCTTGTCTGAGCCTTTTTTCTTGTTGGGTTCCTTTGATCGTTTGGAAAAATGTATTAGTTTCGGACCAGATTCCAATGAATTATTCTGGTCACCTTGTATGTGGTTTTGGGTCGATTTGACGTTAATCATGTCCTTTGTTTCTTGGTATTTGATGTAAAGTGTTTAGAGTGTTTGTTTTAAATTAATTTCATGCATATGCAGCAACAAACTTGTTCAAGATGCTTTTGAAGTATAGGCCAGAGGATAAAGCACAGAAAAGGGAGCGTCTTTTGAAAAGAGCTCAGGAAGAGGCTGAAGGCAAATCACACGATGCGAAAAAGCCTATCGTCGTTAAATATGGTCTCAACCATGTTACCTATCTCATTGAACAGGTAGTCTTTTATTCCATACAAGCAAAAATTCACTCTTTTCATCTGCAATGTTCTCTGCAATCAGATACTCCCTGTATTTATAGCCGCGGGTCTAAAATGTACTTTCTTTCTTTCCAGAACAAGGCACAGCTGGTCGTGATTGCACACGATGTGGACCCAATTGAGTTGGTCGTTTGGCTCCCAGCTCTGTGCAGGAAGATGGAAATTCCATACTGCATCGTGAAGGGAAAAGCACGATTGGGAGCGGTAACTGTCTCTTTATTCAACACAACAATGTCTACTCCTTAGAATCTATGGATCAAACCTTTTGTAATTTTGGCTTTTTAATAACAGATTGTCCACCAAAAGACTGCATCAGTTTTGTGCTTGACAACCGTGAAGAACGAAGATAAGCTGGAGTTTAGCAGGATCCTGGAAGCTATTAAGGTGGTTTGGTTTACACTATATAAACATAACATATAAAGCCCAGATAAGGCCTCTGGATTTGACTTGTTTGTTGTTTTGTTATATGTTAGGCTAATTTCAACGATAAGTACGACGAGTACAGGAAGAAGTGGGGTGGTGGAATCATGGGTTCCAAATCCCAGGCTAAAACTAAGGCAAAGGAGAGGCTGCTGGCGAAGGAAGCTGCTCAGAGGATGTCTTAGGTATCAGAATTGTTCTTTTATGATTACTTATATGCTTCTTTTAAGGACGAGAACTTGTCCATGTAACCCTCTTATTTATCTTAGATTAACTTTGGATGCTATCAGTTTGTCATTTCTAATACTCTCTGCCTATCCCATCCCATAAGACTAGAATGGTATTTCAGGCCTTAGGTTTGTAGGTCCTTATTGCATTTCTTTTCCATATTCTTAAAAAGTTTGGAGAATATCAAATTATACATGATTGGTGTTTTAGTATTTGAATTATAATGAACTATTATAATATTGGACACTTTTTATATGGCTTGAAATGTAAATTAAAGGTTGTTTGTAATGATATTTTTATTTTTGTAAATAACATATTTTAAGTAATATTACTTGGAAAACTAAGTACAATTGCTAGCAATTGGGAGCGTGCAACCATTGGGAATTCATTCTCTCCCAAGTCGCGGAGCCTCCATCGTTTTTTCTTGAAACTATGCATATGAAATGTAAAGGGAATGGGTGAAATTATCAGCGAAATCCGAAGGCAGGGGCGTGTCTTAGGTTAATCTTAAGTCGAGGGCATAAGGCATGTGGGTAAGAGATATCGGAAATGAAATTAGGGCATAAAAAATGAGGTTGAGACGTGAGGCGTAATGCATAATGCATGTGAAACGGGGTGAGAGACCTTTAGATATGAGTTATCAAGTGTTCTTATTGTATAGTATGTTGTGACTCCCGTGTAGAGCAAGATAATGTACAAAGTACAAAGACTTATTTTTCTCTACTATAGATCTAGGGATAAAAACCTCCCATCTAATTCAACTAAGCTTATTTTGACTTATTTTTCTACTAAGAATAGCGCGAAAAATGTCCTAGATCTAAGAATAAAAACCTCTCATTTAGTTAAATGTATTTTTCTACTAAGAATAAAAACCTCTCATCTAATTAAATGTATTTTTCTACTGAGCTTATTTTTTCTGAAGTCGAATGACATAAGTTCTATTAACATATTTATATTTCTTTAGTTTTGAATATTAAAATTATTTTAAAAAGTATCTAAAAAATTAGACAATAATTATAGGGTAAATGTGACTATTTTCTAACAAAAAAAAAAAATTATAAAATCATTATTGTTTTCTTAAAATTCTAGAACACAACAAAATTTTTAAAGCTTTTACAACTTAATTTGAATTTTAAAAATATTTGAAAAATTAAGTAACAAAAAAAAAAAAAAAACCCTCAGTGAGTGTAACAAAAATAACTTTTTTAAAACTAAAAAAAAAAATACTTGTCATGCTTAGATTTTTGTAAAACTAAAAAAAAAAATACTTGTCAGGCTTAGAGATGTCGGGAATGAGGAGTTTTTCCAAACAAGACTGAAGATTATTGAAAGAAATAATTGTTGAATAATGTGTTATAATATTGGAATTAAAATTTTTATTGGTTAAATATTATAATGATATTTTTATTTATAATATTGTCCATTTAAAAGTTTTTTTTTTAATTTTTATTTTATAAAATGGATGAAAATATAATATTTAAAAATGTTGTTATTAAATTTATAATTTTTTTTGTAAGGGAAAGCAAAACACATGAGGAAAACGGCGGTGAATTTTAGAAGGAAAGGAAGAGTATAAATACCATTTTAATTCCGTTTTTCTCTTCGTTCTAAAACCCTAGAACCTCCCCCGCCTTCATTGCTCTCGTTCCCTTTCGTCCTCCTTTTTTCAATCGTTGCCACTCTAAACCTAGCCGCCTCTGATCTTCATCTACCATTCTTCAACCGTACCGGACGGAGTCGCACCTCAGTTCGGATCGGTTTGAGCACCAGAGTTTTGACATCTTCCACCGTTTTCCCAAGTTTCTATGGACAAGAAGGAGAAGAAGATGAAGAACAAAGCTCTTGTGGAAGCCCTACCTTTGGAGGATGCTTTTGAGCAGAAGAGTGACGAGTTGGTTCTCTCGGATAAGAAGAAGAAGAAGAGTAAGGGTGATAAAGAAAGCAAGAAGCGGAAAGCCGTAGAAGAGGCTGACGACGGGGATAGAAGCGAGACGAGCTCGGAATTAGGCGAACCTGTGAATTCGAGGTTGAAAAACGGAAAGGAGAAGAAGAGCTCGAAGAAGTCAAAGGTGGTTGAGTCTGACGAAGACGATGTGGAGAAGGAAGCTGACGACCAGAATGCTATTTCTAAGTTTCGGATTTCGGAGCCGCTGAGGGCGAGGTTGAAGGAGAAGGGAATTAGCTCCTTGTTTCCGATTCAGGCTATGACGTTCGACACCGTATATGACGGGTTTGATTTGGTTGGACGAGCCAGAACGGGACAGGTATAATTTGTTTGCTTGATTCTTTATTGTTCTTTTGGGACTGTAGATAGAAGTGTTAGGCTTTCCTCTCCAGTGTGAAGCATAGACTTGTTTTGAAGCTTGTATTTCATAAGACAATTCTTTCTTGTAATTCTTTTTTCCACCTGAAGGGTAAATCTTGCATGTTATAGCTAGTTGGTAAGTTTTTGTAGTTTATTGAAGTCTTGCAAAATTCTGAGATTGGTTTCTATTTTTTTTTTTAGTTTTTAAAATCTCTATAATAAAGTCTGCCATGTAATAAAGTCTGTTATGTATATTATCTTCATGTTTTTTTGTGCAGGGTAAAACTTTAGCTTTTGTCTTGCCCATCTTGGAGTCTATAGTAAATGGGCCTTCTAAGTCATCGAAAGTGACTGGATATGGAAGGACTCCTAGTGTTATAGTACTTTTACCGACCAGGGAATTGGCTGACCAGGTATGGTTTGGAGATTTTTGAAATTACGTTTGTTAATCTTGATTTTAGTTGATCGAAAAGCTGTGGTTTGATTAGGTGTTTGAGGACTTCAAATTTTATGGGCATGCATTAGGCTTGGAGTCTTGCTGTTTATGTGGAGGAATGCTTTATGGTCCCCAAGAAAATAAACTGAGAAGAGGTGTTGACATAGTTGTTGGAACACCTGGTCGTGTAAAGGTGGAAATTTACAGCAAATTCTTGAAGGCTTTGTTAAATGATAATAACGTTTTAGTGTTTGTTTACTGACATGTGCCTTTTTCAATTTGTGGTGTAGGATCACATTAACAGAAATAATATTGATCTGCGGTCTCTAAAGTTTAGGGTTCTTGATGAAGCTGATGAAATGTTGAGGATGGGTTTTGTCGATGATGTTGAATTTATTCTAGGTATATTATTTAGAATCTTAATTATTTCTTCCACAGCGAGACTTAAATCTATTTGGCTTCATTACTTGATATTGTGTCATTTATGTTTTACCTGTCGTTGGTTAACTTTTTTTTGGTGGATTTTTAGGTAAGGTAGAGGATGTAAACAAAGTTCAAACACTTCTTTTCAGTGCCACTTTACCAAGCTGGGTGAAAGATGTCAGTATTCCAAACATAATTATAGTTACCAAGCTCCTTAGTCTTATGCTGATAAATTGACTGGAAAATGTATTTTTCTTCCGCAATTGTTACTGATATTGTTTTGCTTTTTTAGATTGCTTCAAGGTTCCTTAAAGCGAACAAGAAAACTGTAGATCTTGTGGGCAATGAGAAAATGAAGGCCAGTAATGATGTTAGGCATATTGTTATTCCTTGCTCTGATTCAGAAAGGTCTCGGCTTATTCCAGATATCATTCGATGCTATAGCAGGTTAGTAGGTCGAATGGAAAGAAGTTAGTTACTGTTGTTATTATTTTTCATCAGTGATAAATTATTGAATTGTTCTCTTTGTTTTTACTGTATGATGATATTATACTCAGTGGGGGCCGGACTATTATTTTTACGGAGACAAAGGAATCTGCATCAGAGCTTGCTGGTCTTCTTCCAGAAGCACGACCGTTACATGGAGATATACAGCAGTCTCAACGTTCGGTAATTTTATAATTATCTTTTTATATTGTTTTTCTAGGATTGATTGTGTAGTCCATCTATGATTGTTTTTTTGGGTATTGTAATGATCTTTTAGTCTGTTTATTTAATTTTATAAGGGAACCGTTCTTGGGTGGGATGGTTATAGGAAATTCTCAATAGACCCTCACGTGTTTTAACTATGTAACATCTAACAATTAAATGTTCATTTTATTTCCTTCGTATAATATTCTTGATTGTGAAGTATCCAGATTATTGGAGCCTTGCATGTGTAATGAATGTTCATTTTATTTCCTACGCGTTGCAGGTTACTCTTTCTGGGTTCAGGTCAGGCAAGTTTCTGGTATTAGTGGCCACCAATGTGGCAGCTCGTGGATTGGATATCAATGATGTTCAGCTAATTATCCAGGTTTGTGCTTTTATTTGCTAAAGTGTGCTTTTATTATTATAATTTTTTCTGTATGTCTTATTTATCTTTATTTACGAATCTGCCAGTGTGAAGCTCCAAAGGACATAGAAGCTTATATTCATCGGTCTGGAAGAACAGGAAGAGCTGGTATTTCTGAGTTCGTAAACTTTTCCCCATTGTGCATGCTTATAAATTTAACTCTTCCTAAAAAAGACTATTCTGTACTTTTTAGGAAATTCTGGAGTTGCCGTAACATTGTATGATCCAAGAAAGGCAGGAAGAATTGCCAGGATAGAAAGAGAATCTGGTGTGAAGTTTGAGCACTTGTCTGCTCCCCAACCTATTGATATAGCCAGATCTGCTGGAGCAAGTGCTGCGGAATCAGTAACTCAAGTCGCCGATAGGTATATTTGGTTAATGTTCCCTTAGTGGGTAATTTTATTTTTGGCACTCTTTAATTTTATATATATATTGGAACAGTGTAATCCCACCTTTCAAGTCTGCCGCGGAAGAGTTAGTTAACAACTCTAGTTTGTCGTCTGTTGAGCTTCTTGCCAAGGCCCTTGCTAAGATCTCTGTGAGTTATCCTTCTTTTTTATTTTGTTTTTTTCCCCCTAAACTATGTAATCTTATAGGCTCTTGCTCGTTGTCGTCTCTTTTTCACCGACATTTGCCTAACTGCATTTTGGTGGATTGTATGAATTTCTGCAGGGATATACAGAGATAAAGAGTAGATCACTTCTGACGTCAATGGAAAACCACGTCACTTTAATTCTCGAGGCTGGAAAGCCCATCTTTTCCCCATCGTGAGCTATTTTGATTTTAGTTTTATTAATTTGTTAGACGTTTTTTTGTCTTGCATGTAAAATAGCTTTGATTTCTTCCCCTGCTCTCCGTTTCTCCTGCATTGTGACTGCTACACATCATATCATCAAACTGATGAATTTTGCTTCTTAAATTGTCCAGATTTGCCTACAGTGTTCTAAGGAGGTTTTTGCCAGAGGAGAAGGTTGAGTCAGTCAAGGGTATGACACTAACGGCCGATGGATACAGCGCTGTATTTGACGTTCAAACGGAAGATTTGGATGCATTTCTTACTGGTAAATCTTCGATTCATTTTGCGTAGCTTTTTTCCGAAGTTGTGAATGATAAATTGAACTTATTTGGGTCGTACGCCATCCAAAGCTGTTCCTTGCAATATAATTTACGGTTCTCTTTGCTTTTCTTATTCCCTCTGATTGCAGGTCAGGGCAATGCAGGCGGCGTGCGTCTAGAGGTCTTGAAAACACTGCCAAAATTGCAGGACAGAGAGCAATCACGAGGTGGAAGATTTGGTGGTGGTGGTCGTGGAGGATACGGCGGAGGTCGTGGAGGAGGATACGGTGGTAGTAGGTTTTCAGGAGGACGAGGAGGTGGTCGTGGAGGGTTTTCTGATAGAAGAAACAGTTTTTCGGGTGGAAGAGGTCGAAACTTCAGCGGTGGCAGCAACAAATGGTAAGAGGAGGGTGGTGTGTGTTATAGCATCATTCCTTATAGAAACCACAGCCTGAATTAGGAGCAGCATGCATATTCATTGGAAATTTTGTAGAAAAAGATGAGATGAGTATAATAGTGAGTGGGTGTATCGCATGAGGCCAATCTCGGCGAATATAGTTTATTTGATGATACCATCCTATTTATTATTTCCTGTTCATCCCTAGTGGGGTTTTTCCCTTTCGCCCCTATTTGGTAGACCTATGATTTTGTGGCTTCGAGAGAGACATTATTTTATACTGTGCGTAATGGGATTTGTATAATTTCTATTAATTAATTTAGCTCCATTCAAAATTACATTACTTCCATTGTTGTACGGACACGGTTTTCTCCAACTTTTTTGGGATCTTTGTTTCGAAACAAGGGTATGTTAGAGGGTTTTTAAATAATTAAAATTTTCAAACTCATTTTTTATGTTCTAATGGAATAGTGTATATTTTTTCCGTGTTTTGGGTGTAGGGTTTATTCAATCTTTCCAAAAACTCTATCTATGATTGACTAGAATTGATTTACACGATTGTACTTTGTGAGAATGAGATAATCTATTTTAAAATTTTAATTTTATAAGCATGGGAATGAAAATGAACTATAAAAAAAAAAAAAAAAAAAAAAACCGAACCTTCAATAATTTTATGTTATGCACATCTGACAAAATTGAATATAAATAGTAAACAAAATCAACATTTTCAAACGAGGAGTGGTGGGCTAGGTAGGTCTTATATATAGCTTTGAGTTATCTTGACATTAGGAATTCGAGCCTCTCTCTCATCCCACCATATTTTTTTTTTATTCTAACCGTATAAAAAATGTCCTATCAAACCTAGCAAACGATCTTTATGTATCGGTTTGATCTCTGATTTCAAATTTTGTTAACGAGACGTGGTGGCGCAGTTGGCTAGCGCGTAGGTCTTATAACTTCGAGTTATTCGGAGGTCGAGAGTATAAGCCTCTCCCACCCCACAATATGCCCTATAAAACATAACAAAAGGTTTGTATCAAGGGGTGGTGGCGCAGTTGGCTAGCGCGTAGGTTTATCCTAAGTTCGAGACTCTTTCACCCTACGAGATAAAACATGTCCTGTAAAACCTAGTAAAAGATCATTTTGTGTCGGTGTTTGGTCTCTAGGTCTCATAGCTTTGAGTTATCCTGAGGTCGATTGTGTCGGTTTGGCTCCGGAATCAGAACCTTGTTTGTTATCGAGGGGTGGTGGCGTGGTTGGCTAGGTAGGTCTCATAGCTTTGAGTTATCTTGAGGTCGAGAGTTCGAGCCTTTCTCACCCCACCATATTATTTCTTATTCAAACAGGACATATATGTCCTAACCTAGAAAAAGATCATTTTGTGTCTGTTTGGCCCTAGAATCAATACCTTGTTATCGAGGGGTGGTGACACAGTTGGCTAGTGCGTATCTCATAGCTTTGAGTTATCCTGAGGTCGAGAGTTCCAGCCTCTCTCACCCCACCATAATTTTAAAACCTAGCAAAAGATCATTTTGTGTTTAGCCTCATAGCCAAAACCTTGTTATTGAGGAGTGGTGGCGCTGTTGGCTAGCGCATAGCGCAGTTGGCTAGTGCGTAGGTCTCATAGCTTCAAGTTATCCTGAGTTCGAGCGTCTCTCACCCCACCATTTTTTTTTATTCAAATGAGATAAAACATGTCCGGTAAAACTTAACAAAAGATCATTTAGTGTCGGTGTTTGCCCTTGGAATCTAAACCTTGTTATCGAGGGGTGGTGGCGTAGTTGGCTAGTGCGTAGATGTCATAGCTTCGAGTTATCCTAAAGTTAAGAGTTTGAGCCTCTCTCACCCCAACATTTCTTTTTTTATTCAAAGAGGATAAAACATGTTCGGTAAAACCTAGAAAAAGAATGTGTTGTGTTAGTTTGGCCTCGGAATCAAAACCTTGTTATCGTGGGGTGGTGGCGCAGTTTCTAGCGCATAGGTCTCATAGCTTCGAGTTATCCTGAGGTCGAGAGTTCGAACCTGTCTCACCCCACCATATTATTTTTTATTAAACCAGGATAAAACATGTCCTGTAAAACCTAGAAAAAGATCATTTTGTGTCTGTTTGGCCCCGGAATCAAAACCTTGTTATCGAGGGGTGGTGGCGCAGTTGACTAGCGCGTAGGTCTCATAGCTTCGAGTTATCCTGAGGTCGAGAGTTCGACCCTCTCTCTCACCCCACCATATTTTTTTTTTATTCAAACAAGATAAAACATGTCGTGTAAAACCTAGCAAAAGATCATTTTGTGTCGGTTTGGTCTATGAAATTCAATCTTGTTAGGGTAGCGTGTTTGTAAAACCTAGCAAAAGATCATTTTGTGTTGGTTTGGCCTCTGAATCAAAACCTTGTTATCGAGGGGTGGTGGCACAGTTGGCTAGCGCGTAGGTCTCATAGCTTTGAGTGATCCTGAGGTCGAGAGTTCGAGCCTCTCTCACCACACCATATTATTTCTTATTCAAACAGGATAAAACATGTTTTGTAAAATCTAGAAAATGATCATTTTGTGTCGGTTTGGCCTCGGAATCAAAACCTTGTTATCGAGAGGTGGTGGCGCAGTTAGTTAGCGCGTAGGTCTCATAGCTTCGAGTTATCCTGAGGTCGAGAGTTCGAACCTCTCTCACCCCACCATATTATTTCTTATTCAAACAGGATAAAACATGTCCTCTAAAACCTAGAAAAAGATCATTTTGTGTCGGTTTGGCCCCGGAATCAAAACCTTATTATCGAGGGGTGGTGGCGTAGTTGGCAAGTGTGTAGGTCTCATAGCTTCGAGTTATCCTGAGGTCGAGAGTTCAAACCTCTCTCACCCCACCATATTATTTCTCTTTTATTCAAACAAGATAAAACATGTTCGGTAAGACCTAGCAAAAGATAATTTTGTGTCGGTTTGGCCTCGGAATCAAAACCTTGTTATCAAGGTGTGGTGATGCAGTTGGCTAGCGCGTAGGTCTCATAGCTTCGAGTTATCCTAAGGTAGGATAAAACATGTCCTCTAAAACCTAGAGTTCGAACCTCTCTCACCCCACCATATGTTTTAGGTCTCATTGCTTCGAGTTATTCTGAGGTCTAGAGTTCGAACCTCTCTCACCCCACCATATGTTTTAGGTCTCATTGCTTCGAGTTATTCTGAGGTCTAGAGTTCGAACCTCTCTCACCCCACCATATGTTTTCTTATTCAAACAGGATAAAACATGTCGTGTAAAACCCAGAAAAAGATCATTTTGTGTCGGTTTGGCCCCGGAATCAAAACCTTGTTATCGAGGGGTGGTGGCGCAGTTGGCTAGCGCGTAGGTCTCATAGCTTCGAGTTATCTTGAGGTCAAGAGTTCGAAACTCTCTCACCCCACCATATTATTTCTTATTCAAACAGAATAAAATATGTCCTCTAAAACCTAGAAAAAGATAATTTTGTGTCGGTTTGGCCTCGGAATCAAAACCTTGTTATTGAGAGGTGGTGGTGTAGTTGACTAGCGCGTAGGTCTCATTGCTTCGAGTTATTCTTAGGTCGAGAGTTCGAGCCTCTCTCACCCCACCATATTTTTCTTTCATTTAAACGAGATAAAACATGTCCTGTAAAACCCAACAAAAGATAATTTTGTGTCGGTTTGGCCTCGGAATCAAAACCTTGTTATCAAGGTGTGGTGATGCAGTTGGCTAGCGCGTAGGTCTCATAGCTTCGAGTTATCCTAAGGTAGGATAAAACATGTCCTCTAAAACCTAGAAAAAGATCATTTTGTGTCGGTTTGGCCCCGGAATCAAAACCTTGTTATCAAGGTGTGGTGATGCAGTTGGCTAGCGCGTAGGTCTCATAGCTTCGAGTTATCTTGAGGTCAAGAGTTCGAAACTCTCTCACCCCACCATATTTTTCTTTCATTTAAACGAGATAAAACATGTCCTGTAAAACCCAACAAAAGATAATTTTGTGTCGGTTTGGCCTCGGAATCAAAACCTTGTTATCAAGGTGTGGTGATGCAGTTGGCTAGCGCGTAGGTCTCATAGCTTCGAGTTATCCTAAGGTAGGATAAAACATGTCCTCTAAAACCTAGAAAAAGATCATTTTGTGTCGGTTTGGCCCCGGAATCAAAACCTTGTTACTGAGGGGTGGTAGCACAGTTGGCTAGCGCGTAGGTCTCATAGCTTCAAGTGATCCTGAGGTCGAGAGTTCGAGCCTCTCTCACCCCACCATATTTTACTTTTATTCAAACGAGATAAAACATGTCCTGCAAAACCTAGCAAAAGATAATTTTTTGTCGGTTTGGCCTTGGAATCAAAACCTTGTTATTGAGGGATGGTGGTGCGGTTGGCTAGGGCGTAGGTCTCATAGCTTTGAGTTATCTTGAGGTCGAGAGTTCAAGCCCTTCTTACCCCATCATATATTTTTTTAAAACATTTCCTGTTATCTTTTTTGTCGGTTTGGCCTCGGAATCAAAACCTTGTTATTGAGGGATGGTGGCGTGGTTGGCTAGGGCGTAGGTCTTATAGCTTTGAATTATCTTGAGGTCGAGAGTTCAAGCCCTTTTTACCCCACCATATATTTTTTTAAAACATGTCCTGTAAAATCTAGCAAAAGATCATTTTGTGTCGGTTTGGCCTTGGAATCAAAACCATGTTATTGAGGGGCGCGTAGGTCTCATAGCTTCGAGTGATCCTGAGGTCGAGAGTTCGAGCCTCTCTCACCCCACCATATTTTACTTTTATTCAAATGAGATAAAACATGTCCTGTAAAACCTAGCAAAAGATAATTTTGTGTCGGTTTGGTCTCGGAATCAAAACCTTGTTATCGAGGGATGGTGGTGCGGTTGGCTAGGGCGTAGGTCTCATAGCTTTGAGTTATCTTGAGGTTGAGAGTTCAAGCCCTTCTTACCCCACCATATCTTTTTAAAACATGTCCTATAAAACCTAGCAAAAGATCACTTTGTGTCAGTTTGGCCTCGAAATCAAAACCATGTTATTGAGGGGTGGTGGCGCAGTTGGCTAGTGCGTAGGTCTCATAGCTTCGAGTGATTCTAAGGTCGAGAGTTCGAGCCTCTCTCACCCCACCATTTTTTACTTTTATTCAAACGAGATAAAACATGTCCTGTAAAACCTAGCAAAAGATAATTTTGTGTCGGTTTGACCTCGGAATCAAAATCTTGTTATCGAGGGATGGTGGTGCGGTTGGCTAGGGCATAGGTCTCATAGCTTCGAGTTATCTTGAGGTCGAGAGTTCAAGCCCTTCTTACCCCACCATATTTTTTTAAAACATGTCCTGTAAAACCTAGCAAAAGATCATTTTGTGTCAGTTTGGCATCGAAATCAAAACCATGTTATCGAGAAGTGGTGGCGCAGTTGGCTAGTGCGTAGGTCTCATAGCTTTGAGTGATCCTAAGGTCGAGAGTTCGAGGCTCTCTCACCCCTCCATTTTTTACTTTTATTCAAACGAGATAAAACATGTCCTGTAAAACCTAGCAAAAGATAATTTTTTGTTGGTTTGGCCTCGTAATCAAAACTTTGTTATTGAGGGATGGTGGCGCCGTTGGCTAGGGCGTAGGTCTCATAGCTTCAAGTTATCTTGAGGTCGAGAGTTCAACCCTTCTTACCCCACCATATTTTTTTAAAACATGTCATGTAAAATCTAGCAAAGGATCATTTTGTGTCGGTTTGGCCTCGAAATCAAAACCATGTTATCGAGGGGTGGTGGCGCAGTTGGCTAGCGCATAGGTCTCATAGCTTTGAGTGATCCTAAGGTCGAGAGTTCGAGGCTCTCTCACCCCACCATTTTTTACTTTTATTCAAACGAGATAAAACATGTCCTGTAAAACCTAGCAAAAGATAATTTTTTGTTGGTTTGGCCTCGGAATCAAAACTTTGTTATTGAGGGATGGTGGTGCGGTTGGCTAGGGCGTAGGTCTCATAGCTTCGAGTTATCTTGAGGTCGAGAGTTCAAGCCCTTCTTACCCCACCATATTTTTTTAAAACATGTCATGTAAAATCTAGCAAAAGATCATTTTGTGTCGGTTTGACCTCGAAATCAAAACCTTGTTATTGAGGGGTGGTGGCGCAGTTGGCTAGCGCGTAGGTCTCATAGCTTCGAGTTATCCTGAGGTCGAGAGTTCGAGCCTCTCTCACCCCACCATACTTTTTTTTATTCAAACAGGATAAAACATGTCTTGTAAAACCTAGAAAAAGATCATTTTGAGTTATCCTGAGGAGAGTTCAAGCCTCTCTCACCCCACCATGTTTTTAAAACCTAGCAAAAGATCATTTTGTGTCGGTTTGGCCTCAGAATCAAAACCTTGTTATCGAGGGGTGGTGGCACTGTTGGCTAGCGCGTAGGTCTCATAGCTTTGAGTGATCTCGAGGTCGAGAGTTTGAGCCTCTCTCACCCGACCAATTTTTTTTTTTATTCAAACAGGATTAAACATGTCCCGACCATTTTTTTTATTCAAACAGGATTAAACATGTCCTGTAAAACCTAACAAAAGATCATTTTGTGTCGGTGTTTGCTCTCGAAATCAAAATCTTGTTATCGAGGGGTGGTGGCGCAGTTGGCTTGTGCGTAGGTGTCATAGCTTCGAGTTATCTTGAGGTCAAGAGTTCGAGCCTCTCTCACCCTAGCATTTCTTTTTTTATTCAAAGAGGATAAAACATGTCCAGTAAAATAGTTTGGCCTCGGAATCAAAACCTTGTTATTGAGGGGTGTGGTGACCCAGAGTTGGGTAGCGCGTAGGTCTCATAGCCTCGAGTTATCCTGAGGTCGAGAGTTCGAAGGGTGGCTCGGAATCAAAACCTTGTTATTGAGGGGTGGTGGCGCAGAGTTGGGTAACGCGTAGGTCTCATAGCCTCAAGTTATCGAGAGTTCGAACCTGTCTCACCCCACCGTATTATTTTGTTATTCAAACAGGATAAAACATGTCCTATAAAACCTAGGTAAGATCATTTTGTGTTGGTTTGGCCCCGAAATCAAAATCTTGTTATCGAGGGGTGGTGGTGTAGTTGGCTAGCGCGTAGGTCTCATAGTTTCAAGTTATCCTGAGGTCGAGAGTTCGAGCCTCTCTCACCCCACCCATCTTTTTTTATGCTAACAATATAAATCATGTCCTAGAGAACCTAGCAAAAGCTCTTTTTGTTTCGGTTTGGCTTTTGAGTTTAAATCTTCTTATCTAGGGGGTGGTGGTGCAGTTGACCGGCGCATAGGTCTTATAGCATGGAGTTAATCCTAACGTCGAGAGTACGGGCCTCTCTCTCACACCCCACCATTTTTTTTTTCTAACAACATAAAAAATGTCTATAAAACCCCACTCAATGCTTAAGCTCAAGTCAATACATAGTCTAAAGTTATGTCAAACTAAGCTTATGACGTTTTTGCTTGGAGAGTTATGTCAAACTGAGCTTATGACGTTTTTGCTTGGAGGTTTTAGTCCCTATATTTTGAGTTTGAGTTGTGCAATTAGTCAGCTAGAATTACGAGAGGGAAGAGACATATGCCTCTACTCAGTTTGTAGCTCTTCGATTTTTAGTTTTCCTCTTTAGGTAGTCAATGCCTCATCTCTATGTTCGGTTCGTAGGTCAGAACTAAGAGAGGGTTGAGACATGTGCCTCAGCTTCGTTTGTACCTCTTCGACTTCCAATTTTCCTCTTTAGGTGATGATTAGTTCTCCATCTCCATTTCGGTTTGTGGGCCAACTTATCCTAGGTTGATCCAAACCCGTGGTCCTTGAGGTTGTTTTACCCCTAACAAACGGGCGCATACATATAAATGAAAATACCAGAGTTTGAGCATGAGACTATAAATTATTTTTAGTCTTTCTTAGCCATGCATACATATAGCCTCTAGATCTCTCTCATTAAATGCCGTTTTAGTTCACTCATGTGGCTCCTCAGCGTCACATGCCAACTAACATCTACTTTAGTTCGTCTCCAAACTACATTGTATGAGAAGAGATTTTCTTATGATACCATCGGTAACATCGAAGGCCCAAGAATCATACCCGAATTTGAAATTGATATTGAATACCTTGTAGCCTTAACACTCACACTTCATGCAATCTGATCATGCTAAACTACTCATCTTAAGATGCTACAAGTCACAACGACTTGACATGCTATAAACTATGCTATCATCCAGACGTGCTCAACCATATAAGAACACAATAATTTTATAATAAGTTAAAAAAAACCATATATATACAACATAAATAAGGCATGAAACATGCTAGCACACAAACAAACAAAGTCGATCGATAGAATTATACTTATAAACGTTCTAAAGCACGCCTAAGCAACTCAGGTCAAAACTTTATTAAAAGTCTCAAACAGTGCTCGTAATGAATATTCTTACTCAAAAGAACCTTAAACCGTAATTCGAACACTCCAAGTCATGTCTCAGCCATGAAAAGAGAGTAAAGTTCTGCTGAAAACTTACCGACACAAACTTAAACCGAATTAAATGTAAATAAATAAATAAAATGGTCACTAACCAAATCTTAATTTAATTTTTAAAAATTGATTTACTATATAATAAAAAAATTTATATCATAAAAGAACATGGGGAATCATTTTAAAA